CTAACTCCTTTTTATATTTTAAGTACTTTATTACATTTGCTTCTTTGTGTTTGTTTGAGTGTGTGTGTGTGTGTGTGTGTGTGTGTGTGTGTGTGTGTGAGTGATCTCCCTGACCCTTCCTTTTATATTTTAAAAGCAAGAACCATGGCAGTTGTAGACCATGACCAGCTCAAAAACACTGTGACAGAATAGGCAAGGTATCCTTCCAATACTCCAAGAGGGAGACTATTCTCCACGAGTGCCCAGTGCAAGCATGTCAGCTTGACAACTTGATAGGACGTTGAGGATAAGTCTGCAGTGAAGCCACTGGATGATAGCTCTCTTTGATTTAGGGATACCAAATGCATTGACCTTTCTGATTAAGTGAGAAACCCTTGGCTATATAGAACTCAATGGCCCTTTAGGAGCTCCCCGGAGAGTTTGCTCATAGCCCTTGGAGCATATCCTGAGTGGAGTTTGGAAGACATTTTTCTTCTGTGCCAAAACAAGTTTTATAACTTGGTTGATGCCCAAAGTTCAGCAAGCCCACTAGATAGCTTGATGTTAACTTGTATCTTATCTTCTCAGAAGTCTGAGGATGCTGTCCTTTCATAAATAATAAGAAGTCTCTATGTCATTATTTGGGAGCTGGCTGGCAGGACAAAAAGACTCTTTAATGGGGACCATTTTCATTCAAACCCCATAGGCTTGTAGCTGGCCTCAAATTTGATATGTTTATGAGGGTAACCGTGGACTTCTGATTCTCCTGATTGCACCACCCAAGTGTTGAGATTATAAGTATGCACCACCATGTTTAGTTTCTTGTGGTACTGGGGATCAAACCCACAGCAACTCCTATAAAAGAAAACATTTCATTGGGGCTGGGTTACAGTGTGGAGGTTTAGTCCATTATTGTCATGGCAGGAAGCATGGCATCATGCAGGCAGATATGGTGCTGGAGAAGGAGCTGAGAGTTCTACATCTAGATTTTCAGGTGCAGAAAGAGAATGAGACACTGGGCCTGACTTGAACATCTGAGAGTCCAAGCTCATACCCAGTGACTTCCTGCAACAAAACCACATCTACTCCAACAAGGCCATACCCCCAATGGTGCCACTCCCTATGGGTTTCCTGGATGTTGTGGGAAATTTGTACACTGTGTGAAAATATATTGCTGTGGTTGGTATAATAAAAAGCTGAACAGCCAATAGCTAGGCAGGAGGTGTAGGTAGGATTTCTTGGGGGAGAGAAAGGAAGAGGAGGAAGAATCCAGGGGCGCAGGTGACGTCAGGAAACACGGAGAGGAAACAGGAAGTGCAAGATGGAAGAGAAGTCACGCCACATAGTAGAACATAGATTAATAAAAATGTGAGTTAAGCCGGGCGGTGGTGGCGCACGCCTTTAATCCCAGCACTCGGGAGGCAGAGCCAGGCGGATCTCTGTGAGTTCGAGGCCAGCCTGGGCTACCAAGTGGGTCCCAGGAAAGGCGCAAAGCTACACAGAGAAACCCTGTCTCGAAAAACCAAAAAAAAAAAAAAAAAAAAAAAAAAAAAATGTGAGTTAAGCCGGGCGGTGGTGGCGCACGCCTTTAATCCCAGCACTCGGGAGGCAGAGCCAGGCGGATCTCTGTGAGTTCGAGGCCAGCCTGGTCTACAGAGTGAGATCCAGGAAAGGCGCAAAGCTACACAGAGAAACCCTGTCTCGAAAAACCAAAAAAAAGAAAAAAAATGTGAGTTAAGTTATAAGAGCTTGGGCTGGAGAGATGGCTCAGAGGTTAAGAGCACTGAATGTTCTTCCAGAGGTCCTGAGTTCAATTCCCGGTAACCACATGGTGGCTCACAACCATCTGTAATGAGATCTGGTGCCCTCTTCTGGCCTGCAGTCATACAGGCTGTATACATAATAAATAAATAAATCTTTTTTTTAAAAAAAGTTATAAGAGCTAGTTATGAACAAGCCTAAGCTATAGGCCGAGCTTTCATAAATAATAAGAAGTCTCTATGTCATTATTTGGGAGCTGGCTGGCAGGACAAAAAGACTCTTTACATGGGGACCATTTTCATTCAAACCCCATAGGCTTGTAGCCATATCACAATACAAAATACATTTAGTCCAACTTCAAAAGGCCCCATAGTCTGTCACAGTATCAGCACTGTTTAAAAGTCCAAAGTTTAAAGTCTCTTTTGATGCTCATGGCAGTCTCTTTTTTCTCATGGCAATCTCTTTTTATTTTTTATTTTTTTGGTTTTTTGAGACAGGGTTTCTTTGTGTAGTTTTTGTGCCTGTCCTGGATCTCGCTCTGTAGACCAGGCTGGCCTCAAACTCAAAGAGATCCACCTAGTTTTGCCTCCCAAGTGTTGGGATTAAAGGCATGCACCACCGCCGCCCAGCTCATGACAATCTTTTAACTATAATTCCCCATAAAATCAAAAAGCAGATCACATACTTCCAACATACACTGACACAGGCTATACGTTACTATTCCAAAAGGAAGGAAAGGAGCACAGTGAGGAAATACTGGACCAAAGCAAGACTGAAAACCAGCTGGCAAATTCCCAACTCTACACTCCAGGTCTGATGTCAAAACGCTCTTCAGATCTCCAAGTCCTTTCAGCTTTGTTGACTGCAATACACTTCTTTCTCTTGGGCTGGTTCCACTCATTGTTAACAGCTCTCTTCGACAGGTATCCCACGATTCTGGCATCTCCGACATCTTGGGGTCTCCAAGGCAATGCAGGGTTCACCTTTACAGCTTCACAAAATGGCCCCTCTGGATGTCCAAGCAAGGACACCCCTGATATATGTCTGGCCTCAATGGCTTTCCTTAGTCACAGAGGTGGATTCTGTAACCCCTTCTTGTATCCTTGGCTCTGAACTCAGAACCACATGGCCAAAGCTGCTAAGTTCTGCTGCTTGCTGTGGCTGGAACATGACCTCCTCATTCAAATACATATTCACCAGCTTTCTGTTTTCAATGGTTTCCTTTACTACCTAAGTTTGGCCATCCTGGAACTTGCTCTTTAGACCAAGCTGGTCTTGAACTCTGAAATCTACCTGCCTCTGCCTTCTGAGTGCTTAGGATTAAAGGCTTCTACCACTATACCCAGCTCTAAACTTTTCTTTAATTCCTTTTCACAAGTTGGAAACTTAGCTTGGTGGAGTCTTGCCCTGAGATCACTACTCCCTTTATTCTATGTAGAATCAGGCTTTTCTTTAATCTGTTTATCTCCATGAACACCGGATTTAACATTTTGTATTTTTCCTTTCTCAGCTTGCTCCTTTTCATTGTAGATCTGCATAAGACTGGCCACTAATAACCACATGATCCAGTCGATGCCAAGCTGTTTTGAAATCTTTCTGCCAAAGCTCTTAATCCATATCTCTTCAATTTATCCTCAGGCAGATTTTTGTGCAAGGGCAGAAAGCCACGTTCTTTGCCAATCTGTCACAAGAACAGTGTCTAGGCCACATTCTAATCTTCTCTGAAAACCCTTGAGTCAGGCCCCCACAGTTCAAATCACCCTCAGCACCACTGTCTCCACGTTCCTGCTAGGATGGCGGCCATCACACCTGACTTAAAGTGTCCACTTGTTTTCCTAGTCCAAAGTCCCAAAGTGTTCTGTGTTCCTCCAAACAAAAGCATGGTCTGGTCTATCACAGCAATACCCCACTCCTAGTACCAACTTCTATCTAGTTAGGGTTTTATTGCTGTGAAGAGACACCATGACCTATGGGGCCATTTTCTTTCTTTTTTGGTTTTTTGAGACAAGGTTTCTCTGTGTAGCCCCGGCTGACCTGGAACTCACTCTGTAGACCAGGCTGGCCTTGAACTCAGAGGTCCACCTGTGTCTGCCTCCTGAGTGTTAAATGGATTCAGTTTTATTTTGTCTCAGTTAAAAAATACCTGCAGTTAGACAGGCGGTGGTGGTACATGCCTTCTTTAATCTCAGCACTTGGGAGGCAGAGGCAGGTGGATCTCTGACGTCAAGGCCAGCCTGGTCTAGAGTAGTTCCAGGACAACCAGGATTATACAGAGAAACCCTGTCTTGAAAAAACAAAAACAAAAACTTGCAGTTCTAAATGTGTATTTACAAAAAAAAGAAAGAGAGATTTGTGGGAACAGTTTTGCCTTCTCTGTTAGCACCCATGTAATGTATTCCTTTTGGAGGGCCAATGAGATGATTCAGTGAGTAAAGAGCACTTGTCAAGTAAGCCTGAAGACCTGGGTTTGATCCCCGAATCCCCCTTACAGTGGAAGGAGAGAGCAGACTCCACAAACGTGGTCTGACACAGTGTAGAGTGCAGCATGAATGTACCCACACACGTCACACACATACATATCACATACACAATAATGTACCCACACATATACATCACACACAATAATAATGTACCCACACATATGTCACACACATACATATCACATACACAATAATGTACCCACACATACATATCACACACAATAATAATGTACCCACACATACATATCACACACACAATAATAATGTACCCACACATACATATCACACACACAATAATAATGTACCCACACATACATATCACACACACAGTAATGTACCCACACATATATATCACACACAATAATAATAATAGTTTTCTTTTTTCGAGACAGGGTTTCTCTGTGTAGCTTTGGAGCCTGTCCTGGATCTCACTCCATAGACCAGGCTGGCCTTGAACTCACAGAGATCTGCCTGCCTCTGCCTCCCGAGTGCTGAGATTAAAGGTGTGCACTACCATGGCTGGCAATAATAGTTTTCTTTTTTTTTTTTTTTTTTTCGAGACAGGGTTTCTCTGTGTAGCTTTGCGCCTTTCCTGGAACTCACTTGGTAGCCCAGGCTGGCCTCGAACTCACAGCGATCCGCCTGGCTCTGCCTCCCGAGTGCTGGGATTAAAGGCGTGCGCCACCACCACCCGGCCAATAATAGTTTTCTTAATCTTATGTTTTTTTCCTCCCTGGCACCAGGTACAAGTAACTCTTTTCCTATTTTTCTCCCATCTAGGCTACCCGTTGGCTCTGTTTTATCGGCATTACCTTTTCTACAAAGACTGCTACCTCATCCACCTCTTCCATGCTTTTACAGGCCTCTCCATTGCTTATTTCAACTTCGGTAAGTGAGTGGATTGTGCAGGGACATGGCCATGAGAAGAGACCGGGAGAGGAGCAGACCAGAACAAAATCCCCTGGAGAGAAACTCATGTACTAGAAGTTCTGGTTCCTAAAACTTTTTCATCTCTGCAAAGGGAAGATTGAATGGATAGGAACACAGCTTAATTGTTCGCTTTTTTTTTTGGTTTTTTTTTTTTCTTTTTACATTCCCCTACTGATAAATAATTTATGGCACAGCAGTTAAGAACATTTGCAAGTTCAGTTCAGCTCTCATGTCAGGTGGCTCAAAACCATTTGGAACTCCACTTCCAGGGGACCTGGAGTCCTCTGACTACATGGGCATACACATGCGCACACACACATAAATAAAAATAAAGATAAGTAATTTTCAAACATTTTGAAAAACAGCATATTAATTCAAAATAAGGTACACTAATATTCTTCTCCTCTGAAAACTCTTGAGCCAGGCCCCCACAGTTCAAATCACCCTCAGCACCGCAGATATCAAAACATCACTTGGTACCACATAAGTCCGTACATTTTTATGTACCAGTTAGAAGTAAATTTAGTGTACGGCATTGTGGCGCACACCTTTAATCCCAGCACTCAGGAGGCAGTGAGCCAGCTTGGTCTACATAGTGAGTTCCAGACCATTCAGGGCTACATAGGCCCTGTCTCAAAAATTATAATAATGATAATAAAGTCACCATTATTTAGGGGCTGGTGAGGTGACTCAGCAGATAAAAGCACATGATGACCTCACAGGGTGGGGGAAGATCACCAACTCCCTCTAGTTGCCCTTTGACCTCCACATTTACCAAGGCACACCCACACTTGAGACGACAGTCTCATGTAGCCCAGGCTGACCTTGAACTATATTGAAGATCCTGATCCTCCTGCCTCTACTACCCACGTGCTGGATGCAGGCATGGAACACCACGCCGGGTCCTGTGCAGCTGGGGATTGAACCCAGGGCTTCCTGAATGTTAGCCCAGCACTCTACCAGCTGAACTACATCCCCCGACTCCAGCGTTGCTTACTGTGGGTTGTGGGGTGCTTTTGTTTTCTCTCCTTTGTGGTTGGGAACCTCAGGAGGAACGGGACGAAGGCACTAAGTGCTGCCCTCTTCTCCATCCCAGGGCACCAGTTCTACCACTCCTTGCTGTGTGTCGTGCTTCAGTTCCTCATCCTGCGACTCATGGGCCGCACCGCCACTGCCGTCCTCACTACCTTCTGCTTCCAGATGGTACGTTTTTGTCATGGCAGCTCAGGTCACATCTGCCAGCAGGTGTGGGGAGGGGCCAGGCAGCGGATGGTAGCATGGTGACCCAGGGGATCCAGCTTGTAATCCCTCCTCCCAGCACAGCGCAGTCCGACTGTGGGCGGGCTGCTCATCACTGGGCAGTTGTAGCAGTAACTCATGACTGGCCTCGGGACTGTGCCATCGGGGTTCCTTGGTTCTCACCAGGTCTGGCCCAGCCGACCATGAGGGCAGTTACCCAAAGGCAAGGCAGAAAACTAATTTCGAATGAGCCGAAGAAGCTAAGCATGTAAATGTCCATCTGTCATCCTACAAGTCAATCCTCACTGCAGGGTTGGAAACATTTGTAGGGTTTGTTTGTTTATTTATCAAGGTTGGTCTCACTATGTAACCGAGGCCAGATTCAAACTCTTGTAGTTCAAATTGGCTTCAGTCTCTCTCAAGTGCCAGGATTCTAGGTCTGCACCAGCAGGCCTGGCTTGTGGGAACTTCTTAATGTTCTAATGATGGGACCAGAAGAAAGGAAAAGTGAATAGGGGGAGGTTTCGAGCGAAGGGGAAAATTAGGAAGTCAGGCATGGTGGCATAGACTTGGAAGGCTAAGACAGAGGACTGTGAGCTAGAGGTCCAAGACCACAAAAAAAAAAAAAAAAAAAAAAAAAAAAGAGGCAAGAAGGAGCAAAGGCAGGCAAGTGTAGTGATGGTGGAGTAAGACTTCCCTCTCCTAGGCCTACCTTCTCGCCGGCTATTACTACACAGCCACGGGGGACTATGATATCAAGTGGACAATGCCACATTGTGTCCTGACGTTGAAGCTCATTGGTAAGTGGAAGGGTGCTGCCTTCCTCCTCTGCAGCTGGGCCCCTCCCCACTGAGCCCGAATAAACTATACCGATGTTCCCGTCATGCTCCTGGCTGCAGTCTGTCCACGGACCACATCCTCATCCGATGTTCTTGTCATGCTCCTGGCTGCAGTCTGTCCACGGACCACATCCTCACGTCTGCTCTCCCCTCCCTTCTCTTTGCTCAGGTCTGTCTATTGACTACTATGATGGAGGCAAAGACAGGGTAAGTATCCACTCTGTGGCCAAGTGAGGCTAAGGATTAGCCAGAGGGAAGGAGAAAGGCTACTGTCACCAAAACCCAGGGCCTGCCACCAGGGTGGGACCTTTGCCTCACTCCCTAGCCTGGGAGCTATCTTTCAGATATTAACTGGGCAAGGACCAACCAGGGTACCTTGTCCAGAATCCAGCTTTTACATAAAGTCCAGAGATCAAAGCCAGCAAGGCACTTGTCACAACAGCCACAGGCGACTGTTGACTAAGCCACCTACCCCACATTTCCACACGAAGCAAGTCTTCCCCCACCCCCACCCCCGGCCGTGGGCACAGGTTGGGAACGCTCAGACTGGCTCTTGGGGTAAGATTCCAGGCTGTCCTGAACCGTGCATTCTCTTCTCGGCATAGGATTCCCTGTCCTCTGAGCAACAGAAGTATGCCATTCGGGGTGTCCCTTCCCTGCTGGAGGTTGCTGGCTTCTCCTACTTCTATGGAGCCTTCTTGGTAGGGCCTCAGTTCTCGATGAACCACTACATGAAGCTGGTACAGGGGCAGCTGACTGACACACCAGGGAAGGTACCAAACAGGTAATTGCCCCTCTGGTCAAGACCTCTGTGTGGGTATCCCACCAGTTCCGTCCCTTCGGAAGTGACTCTTAAAGCCAACCTTGGCACAGTGGCCCTGTTGATGCAGTGTCACGTGGACCACGTCTACACGCTCCTCAGCTTAGACTGCCCCAGCCACTCTTGCTGAGCCTGAAGTACAAATGGAAGGACTCACTTTTATGCCTCAGGGTTTTGCCCACCAGCAGTGCTCCTCCCTTTAAAGCCTCCTCTCACGTAGGGAGACCCTGTTCCTTTTCTCCCCCCACCCTCACCCCCACCCCGGAGCTGAGGACCGAACCCAGGGCCTTGCACTTGCTAGGCAAGCACTCTACCACTGAGCTAAATCCCCAACCCCGAGACCCTGTTCAATGTATAAAAGTGTATATACTTAACAAGAGATAATGCATACACCACTATAATTCCTTCAGGGAACTTATCCCCCTGAGTTTCAGCAGGAGTTGAAATTGCTAGTTCTGTACATGGGGTCTTTTAGTCTTTCCACCGATTGAGAAGCCTGGTGAGATTCTGAACTCAGCAGCATGCTCTGAGGGTTCAACACCAGCCTCACACACCCTGCTCCCTCCTGCCCTCACCCCTGTAACTCAGGTTTGCAGATAGCCAAGCAGATAGAGCTGTCTTTCCTGGAAACAGCTCCGGGCACAGGGATCCTGGTGCCACTGCCTGCAGTGGCCGCACCCTGAAACGCTCCTTTCCGTGACTGCAGGTCAGAGGGTGAAGGGCGAGGCTCTGCCGTCTGTGACCCCACTTGTTCCTTTCCAGCACCATACCTGCTCTCAAGCGCCTGAGTCTGGGCCTCGTCTACCTGGTGGGCTACACCCTGCTGAGCCCCCACATCACAGACGACTATCTTCTCTCTGAAGACTATGATGTGAGTGACTGCTAGCACACCATGACCACTGCCTCACAGAAAGGGATAAACGGAGACCCTAGAGATGAGAGTAGGCCATGCCATCTAGAGGTGTGTTCGATTTTGCTCAAGGACCAGGAGAGTTGGTATCCGCGCCACCCAGGCCTTTGGCTGAATGAACAAACCTTCATAGGTCCAGGCCAGCGCCATGTGCACGTTAGTGCCCCCCCTAAAACAGCTCGTCTCGCTTTATGCCAGGCCACTTCTTGGAGTGCAGCAGCTGGTGGCCCTGCAGCCTACTTCCTTTTAACTGACAGACTCACGGACTTGTCGGGAGTCCATGCTCCGAGAGGGAGGGGAAAACTGGCTTTTGCTCCAGTCCCCCTGAAGAGCTCACAGCAGTTCCATACGCATTCTGGGTAGCTAGCTCTGAAAATTAACACGGATCGTGGATATACAAGGTCCCCCTGTCCTGACCACATAAATGCCTAGGCTTTGCAGAGGACGAGGTAGATGGATGTTGGCGTCTCTTGACTGGTTAGAGGGGTAGTGCTATATTGTCATGCACATGAGGCATCAGGAATTGACAGGAGTAAAGAAGCCAGCCACAAGTTTGAAAATAACCTTTAGGGGACTGTGCCATCCCTAACGCTCATGTGCTCTCTTCTCAAGCACCGCCCTTTCTGGTTCCGCTGCATGTACATGCTGGTCTGGGGCAAATTTGTGCTGTACAAATACGTCACCTGTTGGCTGGTCACAGTAAGTAGGAAAGATCAGTCATTTAGACAAGCTGGGTGTGAGGCTGGGAGGGTGGGGTGGCCGGAAGCCTGAGTGTCTCTCCCCTCAGGAAGGAGTGTGCATTTTGTCGGGGCTGGGCTTTAATGGCTTTGAAGAGAACGAGAAAGCAAAATGGGACGCGTGTGCCAACATGAAGGTGTGGCTCTTCGAAACAACTCCTCGCTTCAATGGCACCATCGCCTCCTTCAACACCAACACCAATGCCTGGGTAGCCCGGTAAGCACCGAGGACTGGGCCCAGGCTCCTTCCTCCCTGGACGGGAGGGCAGCATGTTATTGTCACTTCTGTCCATGTTTCCTACTTATCAGTCTGCTAAGCTTTTGTTACCGCCAAGGCACCCCCCCCCACACACACACACAAAAAAAACATTCTGTAAAAGCGCCTGAAGCCTTGGCTGCGAATCCTGGCCTGCCACTGTTTATGCCCTCCTTGTGGTGCTGTTTATATAGTGTCCACTGACGACCCCGTCACTGGCACTGTGCAGCCTGAAAAACACCTCCCTGGCCTCATTGCACCTCCAGTGTCAGGCACTCAGTAGGTCCTCGGTTCCACCTGCTGAAGCAGGCTGGTCCACATTCACCCATCTAAGCATGGAGTCTGTTGTGTCTGAACTGTGACGGCTCTCCTCCACCTCAAGCCGTCCTATGAGCACTGCTTCCTGTACCCTCAGTGGCCACAAGTGGGAGCCAGTCAGCACCCCACTCCTCAGGGCACCGCGCCCCAGAAGCAGGAGTCAAGTCTGAGGTTCATCCTTACCCACCCTCTTCTCTAGTTACATCTTCAAACGCCTCAAGTTTCTTGGAAATAAAGAACTCTCACAGGGTCTCTCCTTGCTGTTCTTGGCTCTCTGGCACGGCCTACACTCAGGATACCTGATTTGCTTCCAGATGGAATTCCTCATTGTTATTGTGGAAAAGCAGGTATGACTCAAGAGGGGTAGGAAACGGGCTGGGGGTAAGGACAAGGCTGATGATCTCTCTCCTCCTTCCCCAGGCCGCCAACCTAATTCGGGAGAGCCCCACCCTGAGCAGCCTGGCTTCCATCACTGCCCTGCAGCCCATCTACTACTTGGTGCAGCAGACCATCCACTGGCTCTTCATGGGCTACTCCATGACCGCCTTCTGTCTCTTCACATGGGACAAATGGCTTAAGGTAGTGAGACCTGATGACAAGGCGGCCAGTCACCAGAACCTCGGGCAGTAACAGATAAGCACTCTCAACTGTCCGTGGTCTGTCTCCACAGGTGTACAGATCCATCTACTTCCTTGGACACACCTTCTTCTTGAGCCTACTATTCATATTGCCTTACATTCACAAAGCAATGGTGCCAAGAAAAGAGAAGTTGAAAAAACGGGAATAACGCATTTCCCTGGTAAGTAAACAATCCACAGGGGACGGCGGGGCGTGTAAGGGACGGGGCTGGAGAGTCGTGGAATAACACAGCCTGCCCACTAGGGAGCGCTCTGTGGGATACTACTTGCTAAGAAGGGACCAGATGCTATTCTGGCCAACCTAACCACACACCTTGCCTTTTAGGTGGCCGAGAGCTGGACTGGTGCAGAAACTACTTGTCTCCCTTCTCACAGCACTCCTCGCCCCGAGCAGATGCCAGGAGCTGGAAGTCACAGCCCTCCCGGCTGCGCCTCTGCTACAGCCAAGTCTTCACCAGGCCAAAGGGGAAGCTCTTGTGGGAGGAGCAGAGGGGCTGCACCCCCTTTGGACTCCCCCATGCACGTTGCCTTATCTCTTCCCTCTAGCCAGGAACCTATTGTGTCTCTCCTCTGCCAATCTACTACGATTGTATATGTGCCGATACCGCCGCCCCCCCATGGGGGGAGGGAAGGGTACAAGGCCCTGCCTGCTCCATTTTTCTATCTTGGAACTATACCAGATAAAATCACTTCTGTTGTTCAGTTTTTCACTGCCAGCATCTTGACTGCTTTCTTTCATACGTGTTCTCTGTGCTTGCTGAAGCTGAGGTCATCGGGGTGTCTGTGAGAACACAAGAATCTAGGAAATCAGGAACTCCTACCTTCAAAGTCCGCAACACCAGACCCCAAGGGGGACAGTTTACACCACCATGTACTGCTGAGTTTAAGAACCCTCAGAACAATCAGGCTTGCAGAAAAGAAAAAAGCACAGTCTTTATAGGAAAACAAAAAACAAATTCAGTCTTGGTTGCCCACTCTGCCGTCTTGGTACAGAAGATTATCTTCCAACAGACACCTTAGGAGTCAACAGACACAAGAGTCCTGTCTGAGAACTAGGCTCCGCTGTTCTCAAATGACACCCCATACTTCTTCAAAGGCTGTGGTAAGTTTGGCACAGGTGAGGGCAGCAGACAGTGGATAGTTGCTGATGGACACCATCTTCTCTGTGTACTCCACACTGACCTGAGGAGAGAAGGAGCTGGTCAGGCAACTCTTACCCTATAGCAGTGCCATTCAATGTCCAACTTCTACAGAACTGGATGCTTTAGCTGTATCTGTTAGACACATGCTGGGTCAGGAATGCAGCTGCGATGTGTTTTCTAGCTCTGTTCATACCCTGTACTTCCTGATTGGTGAGGACAAGGAGTTTTAATATGCTAACTGCTCATGGAATCCAGCACTGAGTTTCAGCTCCATGAAGGACCTAAGGACTGAGCCCAGACTGTACCTTGCCATGGGCAAAGGCCCCCACCACGAAAACAATTGGGTCACTCCTGGGCACCAGCTCTCGCACATCACTGACGTCTGCCATGGAAAAGGAAGTGCCAATTTTCATACAGCCAACTGGGAAGTGGTCAGACACTGGATTCTTAATTACCTAAGAGAAAAAGCAAAGTCAGCCCCAGAAACCGTCAGCCCCAGAACCTACCAACAGGTTTCCCCAGCTTTACCTTCAAAAGCTTCTGAGGGCCATCAGCTGCTCGGACACTGAGTTTGTGTAAAAGCTGAACTAGGAAGGAAAAAAAACGAGAGTTCAGGAGTGAGAAGAAACCGCATTCTTCTGCCCAGTGATCTGTGCGGAACCCTCGGGGAAACTGGGCTGATGTCCTTTCCATTCATACTGTAGCCTAAGATGTCACAAACAAACACTGTGACCAGCTCAGATGGCTTTATCCCTCCCACAGAAACCTAAGAAAGAGAGCAGGGGAGCTGAATTTCCATGGATGTGGAAAACTACCAGGGGCCTATCGTGGCAGTAGCTCTCCACTGCTGGATGTGACGCCCCCCTTTCCTCTCCACTTTGCCAAGTTCATTCGGAACTTAAGTCCTAAGGCTTCTCACCCATGAGGCCACAAAAGCGGTCAAAGGTCCTGGGAATCCGAGTCTGGGGGTTTACTTCAATCAGTACATTCTTCTGTGTGTGTATATAAACCTGTAGCAAGCCAGCTCGGTTCAGGGGGCTGTCCATCAGCATCAGTAAGCTCTGAGAAAGGGAGACAGCAAGGCACAGTGAAGCCTAGAAAACAGCATTTGCTGCCTCTGTAGACAGCACAGAGGGTCATTAGCTCTCCCCACAGTTACCTGGTGGGCGATGTCTGGTCTGACTTCCCCTGGATCCCGTCCATTCTTCAACAACATGGACTTGTGCTTGTCACAGTTGAGTAGCTCGTAAGTTTTCCCTACCTGAAGAACAGAACAGGATGAGAGAAACAGGAAATCTGTTATCTACCTGGTAGTGCTCAAAGGGTGCTCCCCGAACAAGTTCAAGCCCACTCGAGACCTCGGCCAGAAAGCTTCTCAGGGGACTGCCATATGGCCACATTTAGCTTTCTCTGTTAGAGACAGACACACAATCAACTACCTTACAACCAAAAGGAGGGGCACAGGTCACACCACATTTGAGGGGTTTTGTTTGTTTTGTTTTTTTCAAGACAGGGTTTCTCTATGTAGTTTGGGTGCCTGTCCTGGATCTTGCTGTTGAGTTTTTAAGGTCTATGGCTATCAGGCAGAAGTCACAGAAGTTCTAGAATCAGACAGGAATTCATGAACAAGACTCATCACAAAGCAATATGTATGTGCTGAGGAAAATGCCAGCCTGGGATATAGCAGGACCCTACCTCAAACCACTGAGAAAAGACAGGTGGACCGTAGCTCAGTGGCAGAGGGCTTGGCAGGGCCCTGACTTCATCCCCACACCACAAAATAAAACACATGAAAAGTCGGAACAAATGGGGAGGCGTGCCAGGCGGTGGTGGCGCACGCCTTTAATCCTAGCACTCGGGGCAGAGGCAGGAGGATCTCTGTGAGTTGGAGGCCAACCTGGTCTACAGAGCGAGTTCCAGGACAGGCTCCAAGCTGCACAGAGAAACCCTGTCTCGAAAAAAGGAAAAAAAAAAAAAAAATGGGGAGGCGCTGGAGGACTAGGGTTAGAAATGAAATTGCCTTGTAACCCAAGAATCCTCTCAGACAAAGAGCCAAGAATTCTAGTGTCAGAGGAACGTGACACCTGAGAAATGTCCTGACAAGTTTATGCATCTCATAAAAGGGGCAAGTGAGGGCTGCTCAGGGCTGGGTTCTGAAACAACTCATTTGCAGTTTCAAATCTCAAGGGATATTGGGATGGTCAGTAAGACCAAGTCTAAACCTAGCTGGAGAGAGAGCTCAGCAGACAAGGGCACTTGCCACCAAGCCCGAAGATCTAAGTTCAACTCCTGTGACTCACGTGGTGAAAGGGGGAACCAACAAGTTGTCCTATGACCTCCACACACGCCCCCCCCCCACACACACACACCACATGCAAAAAGAAGTCTATAAACATGGCTTTTGAGATGGATCAGCAGGTAAAGGCACCTGCTGCCAAGCCTGATGTGCGGTCACTCCCCAGAACCCACATGGTAGGAGAGAACCTACCCCTCGGGTTGTCATTGAATGAACACACACACACACACACACACACACACGCACGCACGCACGCACGCACGCACAGGGAAATCTTTCGAAAAAAATGACAAAAATACTGTTATGTACAAACACGGCTTTGAAAGGCTGTGTATCACTAGAACTTTTTATGTCTAGAGACGAAGTGATGATACATTTCAGAATCCTGGGGGATGTGAGTCTGGAGATGAACTGAGTAGTATGAGAGATGACTCAGTGATTTCCTTGTCAGGTGGGCTAGAACTCCATCTCCAGGGGGTCTGAAAACCCTGGCCTCCAAGGGCACCGAAACACATGCGGCACACACACACACATGCACAGTTACAAATAAATAGTTTCTATTTATTTAATTTTATGTACATGGGTGCCTACATGTCTGTCCGTGTACCATGTGCATGCAGTGCCAGCTAAAAGAAGGCGCTGGATCCCCTGGAACTGGAGTTAATATGTGACCCACCATGTGGGTACTGGGAATTGAACCTGGTCTTTCGGAAGACCCAGTGTTTTTAACTGCTGAGCCGTTCATTTCTCCAGCCCCACATAAATCTTAAAAAAACAAAACAAAACTGTCAGAGTAGGGGCCGAAGAGGTGGCTTGGTGATAAGAGCACTGCACTTGCTCTTGCAGAGGACCAAGTTCAGTCCCCAGCACCCACATGGTAGCTCACAGTCTCCTGTATCTCCTGAAACCCCTGCTCCAGGAGATCTGGCTGGCTGACCTGCTCAGGCACCTGAACACGCAGTACACATAAACAGAGACAGATCTTCAAAAGAATGTCACAGCAGAACAAATGGTCAAGGACTAAGTCCTCAGGACACCCTTAATCGTAGAACGGTCCAGTTTCAATCCGTTAGGATGACAAAACTGGAGGTTTTGTTTTACATGTGTGGGTGTCTGGCCTGCATGTATACAGATGCACCATGTGCATGCCTGGTACCTGGTAGAAGTCAAAGGAAGGCATCAGATCCCTTGGCACTGGAGTTAGATGGTAAGCTGTCAAGTGGGTGCTGGGAACTGAACTGGGATCCTCTGTAAGAACAAGTGCTCAGCCACTGAGCCATCTCTCCAGGCCCAGGTTTTCTTTCAGTGAACCACAAGAGGAAAAATCAAAATGTTTGACTTACAGTCAGTTGTGATGATGGTTTAGGAAAGATGAGTATGCACTGGTCTGAAAACCACCAACTACCTCTAGTTTGAAGGATCAGAATGAAAACCATTGCTAACATTAGATACAGGAGAAATTTTGAAGTCTTACAGTCTGCACTCAGAAACATAGTAAACAATCACATGACTCTACAAGCTATGAGGAACAGAAATGACTCGTTAGTAGATCAACAGGAAGTATATAGGAGGCAGTCCACTGTCACCTCTCTAAACTGTGTGTGTGTAGGATACATGTACATGTGAAGGACAGAGGTTGATGCCTGGTGTCTTCCTCTATCCTTCTTTTCTGAGACAGCATTCCTTATTGAACCTCAGCTCACTAATTCAGCTAGGCTGGCAGGCCATCAAGCCTTAAGGTGTCACCTGTCTGTCCAACGCTAGGATTACAAATTGAGTTGGGCCTTTTTCTTTCTTCTTCTTCTTCTTCTTTTTTTTTTTTTTTGAAACAGGGCCTCTCTATGTCGCCTTGGCTGGCCTAGAACTTGCTTTGTGGGCCAGGCTGTCCTCAAACTCAGAGATCTGCCTCCCTGTCTGTCTCAGAGTGCTGGGACTAAAGACATGCAAGAGCAAGCCCAGCATGGACTGGGCTTTTTACGTAGGTGCTGGGGTTAGAACTCAGGTTCCCATGTTTGCATGGCAAGCACTCCACTAAGCCATCTGCCCAGCCTGTGATGTAGCAGTTCCTTGGTCTAACCACTAGTTAGAGAAAGCAGCATCACAAATGGATGTGGGAGCTCACACCTGTAATCCCAGCATTCAGGAGGCCACCAGATGCCAGGCCAGCATGAGGTAAAGGGTGAGACCCTGTCTCAACAAGCAACAGCAACAACACTCAATAATTAGCTGGACATGGTAGCCTGTGCCTACAATTCCAGCGTCAGGAACCTAAGGCAAAGGCAGAAGGATGGCCATTCTAGACTGGTCTAGAGTATGTTGTTAAGACCCTGGTCTCAAAACAACAATGAACTAAGTGGCAGGGATACAAAGACCACCATAAGTTAATAACATTCAGTGACCTTAAGATATAAGAGAACCCAATGCTTTCAAAGAACTTAAAGGAGGGCTGGAAGGGACGCCTCAGCAGTTAGGAGCACTGGGTCTTCCAGAGGACCCGGCTCATTCCCAGATTCCACATCATAGCTCCTAACTATCTGTAACTCCAATTCCAGGGGACCTAACAACTTCTAGGCTCTCCGGGTATCAGACATGCACATGGTACACAGACACACGTGCAGGCAAACACCCACACACATAAAATAGTTTTGTTTTGTTTTTGAGACAAGGTTTCTCTTGTGTAACTCTGGAGCCCTTCCTGGAACTCACTCTGTAGCCCAGGCTGGTCTTGAACTCACAGAGATCCTCCTGCCTCTGCCTCCCGAGTGCTGGGACTAAAGGCGTGCGCCACCACCGCCCAATAAAGTAGTTTTTAAAAGAACTTAAAGGAATGCCTTTAATCCCAGCACTTGGGAGGCAGAGGCAGGTGGATCTCTGTGAGTTCGAGGCCAGCCTGGTTCCAGGACAGGCTCCAAAGCTACAGAGAAACCCTATCTTGAAGAAGAAAAAAAAAAAAAAAAAGAACTTAAAGGAGGCTAGAGTGTAAGAATACATGGAGTGGCCAAAACAACAAGAGTGGGCTGGGAAAAAGACAACAGTATAGCTAGGCTGGATGAGGCAGGCTGTCATCCCAACCACTCAGGAGGGTCACAAATTCAAGGTCAACTGGAGCTACAGAATCAAGACTAAACTTGGCAACAAAGTGAGTCCCTATAATCAAAATTAAAATGAAGAAGAAGCTGGGGATATAGTTCAGTGATAGGTTACCTGTTTTGTATATTCAAAGCCCTGAGTTCAATCCCCAGTACTGAAGGGGAGAAAAAAAAGAAAAAGATAATATAGGCCGATGAAAATCTCAACCAGCTATCTGTCACCTTTGAAATACCACTGATAACCTTGCCTGAAATTCTTCTAGAATATACTCTACGAATATTTTTTTTTTTTTTTTTTTTTTTTTTGGTTTTTCGAGACAGGGTTTCTCTGTGTAGCTTTGCGCCTTTCCTGGAACTCGCTTTGGAGACCAGGCTGGCCTCGAACTCACAGAGATCCACCTGGCTCTGCCTCCGAGTGCTGGGATTAAAGGCGTGCGCCACCACCGCCCGGCAAATATTTTTAATACATATTTTTGTTTGCTTTTTTGAAACAGGATCTCTCTACATAGCCCTGGCTATCCTGGAACTCACTATGCAGACCTAGCTGGCCTTGAACTCAGAGATCTATCTACCTCTGCCTCCCAAGTCTGGGAGGATTAAAGGCATGTACCACCGTGCCCAGCTATACATGTTTTTTTAAATTTTATGTGTTTGGGTGTTTTGCCTGTATGTATGTACGTACATCACATGGGTACAGTGCCTTCAGAGGCCAAAAGAGGTCATCAGATCCCCTGGACCTGGAGTTACAGACAACTGGGAGCCACAATGTGGGTGCTGGGAACCAAACTCAGGTGCTCTGTAAGAGTACGTGCTCTTAACCACTGAGCCACCTCTCCAGCCTTGCTCTACGAATTTTAATTGGCCATAACCATTTTGACTTACCAGTAAGTAACCTGAAGTAATTTATTTCAAGTACCAGACATTATTCTAAACAAATAATAACTCCTTTACTCCTTCCAACCATTACAATTAAGTGAACTCGGGGCTTGGGATTTAGCTCAGTGGTAGAGCCCTGGGTTCAGTCCTCAGCTCAGGGGCGAGGAGCAATTAAGTGAACTCATTTGCCTACCTATGTCACAAAACTGGTATACAGAAGGACTAGAACCCAGGCAGTTGGGTGTATCTACATTCTTAAACACTGAAGGTTTTGCAAATTACCATTATTATGGGATTGCTAGCCTGATAATGTCAAAATTAACCCTAACAGGCAGCCGGGTGTAATGGTGTATGCCTTTAATACCAGCATTCATAAGGCAGAGGCAGGCAGATCTCTGTGAGTTCCAGGCCAGCCAGAGCCACACAGTGAGACCCTGTCTATAATAATAATAATAATAACTGGCTGATCTTGCAGAGGACGCAGGTTCAATTCCCAGCACTCACATGGCAGCTCACAACTGCCTGTAACTCCAGTTCCAGGGGATCTGGCATCCTCACACAGACATACGTGCAGGCAAAACACCAATGCACATAAATACATAAATCTTTAAAAAGTGATGGTGATGATGGTAGGCAGTCACTTTGGGAGGAATATATAAAAGCCTATAGTTAGGCTGGAAATATCGATTACTGAAGAAAGTAAAGAATGTGATTAATCGACCACTTAATGAAAAATGAAGGGGGGAAAAAAACAGGTTTTCAGCCCGGTATAGTGGCACACGCCTTTAATCCCAGCACTCAGGAGGCAGAGAGGCGAATCTCTGTGAGTTCAAGGCCAACCTGCTCTACAAAGGGAGTTCCAGAACAGGCTCCAAAGCTACTGAGAAATCCCGTCTCGAAAAACAAACAAGAAAAGTAAAATCTTGAAAGGGTGTGTGTGTGTGTGAAAACACTGCACAAAGTGTTAAGACAGGCACTGCTCATTTTATTACACTCAGAGAAATGAATGATAGGTTGAAACAATAAAAGACGAAGGCTTATTAAATAATTGATCCAGACACTTCAAGATAAGCAGAAATACAGAACGAGCTGATAGTAGGAACCCTTTTAACAAAACAAAATATCAAATCCTTAGCAATAAAAGGATGGGGAAGTCATGGGTCTTTGGGATGTGGGAGACCTCAATAGATAATGCTTCCCCTCGCTTTACATTTTACATCAAAGACTCCTTGATAAATCAACTAAAAGCAAGGGTGTGAGGGCTGAAGAGCACAATAAAATATTGCCAACCCAGGCTTTCAACACCCCGCAAAACTAGATCATCCCTCAAAAGCAAATTCCACTGCTCAGTTTTTTCCACCCATTCTGTGTCCCTGGTCCCCACGGAATCTAACCAAGCAATTTACTACTTCCACACTCTGTTCCAAACTACCTTGACTGTCTCCAGACTGGCCCCTTCCAGCACCACAATGAGCCTACGGCCTCCGCTCTTGCTTCCTGCCCCAAGCCGGGGCCTCTTAGGCGGCGCGTTACCCCAGTCCTGTTCCTGCACTGCAAAACGCCGTTCACGAGGTTGCAAACCACCACTGGGCGCAGCCATCTTGCCAGCAGACCGGAAGTTGCGCTGACGTCCTTAAAGTTATAACTTCGCGTTCGTCCTCACCGCAAACTTCCTTCTAGCTGCCATTTTGAAACAGGGCGCTTGGAAATGGCGATACCTGTAGTCCCGAACTACCGAAGCCTCCCTAGGAGGGCAGGCCTCCAAAAGAGGCGGGACTTCCGGAAGCGCTTTTACTATGCGCGGAGTTCGGGTCCGCCTGAGCAAAGGGGGAGGGTTCAGAAGGAAGCGCACTTCCGGTGCCCTTTCTGCCGCGAGTCCCGCGGCCCCCGATCCTCGTGTGCAGGGCGAGGTCTGTAAACTGGAGTGGGGTAGGAGCTGGCGGGCACCCCCTCCTGACCGCCGGTGCCGCCGCCTTCAGGAGGATCAGACATGGCCCAGAACTTAAAGGACTTAGCGGGACGCCTGCCCGCCGGGCCTCGGGGCATGGGCACGGCGCTGAAGCTGCTGCTGGGGGCCGGGGCCGTGGCCTATGGCGTCCGCGAATCCGTGTTCACCGGTGAGCAACCTCCTTCCGCTGGCCGGTCCCCAGCCCCACTGGCCTGCCTCCCACGGTGTCCGCGCCTACCTGCCCCCTCATCCCCGTCCCACCTGCACCGACCCGTACTTTGATCAGCGGCTTGCTGATTGATTCCCCCCTCTCTCCACAGTGGAAGGTGGTCATAGAGCCATCTTCTTTAACCGGATCGGCGGCGTGCAACAGGACACAATCCTGGCCGAAGGACTTCACTTTAGGTAATGGCGGGTAGAGCGAACGGGCCCTGACCCTTCACCCTTGACGGCTGTAGCCAGACTTACAACAGGATTCGGTGCTGCTTTCTCCCTTCCTCACCCCTGCTCCTAGGACACTAGGTGCTCCGAAACTCCAGCAGTGCCTAAAGGGCTGTTCTCCAAAGGGAAAAGAGAATCTCCTTGTCTGTGGTCATGGGGAGGAGCAGGCCCAAAGACGAGTGGTGAGGGGAAACTGGTCAAAATCAGGGAAACTGCAGCTTCCCAATTCCTGTCTCTGACCTCTCCTCTCCAGGATCCCCTGGTTCCAGTACCCCATCATCTATGACATTCGGGCCAGACCCCGAAAAATCTCCTCCCCCACAGGTTCCAAAGGTAAGAATGGGCGATTGGGAGCTGCATGGCATGTGGGGACACAAGTAAACACAAAGTGAGCCTGGCAGTGTTTCTGAGACCTTGGTGTCTGCATCTTCTAAAGAGCATGCCTCGTGGCTTGAAACAGTTCGTTCCAGCACTTGGTGTGCTTGCACGTTTGAACGTTACTTTGTGCCTAGCAAAAACTGAGTCCGAGAGCTGCCTTTCTTTCTGATTTCCTCGCTCCCCAGATCCAAGCCTTTTTAAGGCCCTTTACGGTTGGCTTGTTGATTACATCTGCAGCATACCTTGCTCTGGAGACACTGTCCCCACTCCTCACTAGCCGTTTCCTTGTAGACCATTCTTAGAAGCCCTGCCTTTGAGATTCCCCCGGCCCCCGCCTCATTCACATGTACACACAGAGGCAAGTAGCCCACAGTCATGTGCTTCTTTGTGCTGTTTTTTTGGTGTGTGTTGTTTATTCATTCACTAAGCCGTAGGCCTTGGAAATGAAAAAATGGACAATTCTGGTTCTCTCGAGTCCTTAGAGCCTAGGGGAGACCCGTAGTTGTGGTGGTGCCCGAACTGGAGGTTGCACCAAGTTCACTAGCAAAAAAATAGGAGTCAGCGGTACGAGTAGGAGGCCTGTAGAGAAGACTTCACAGTAAACGAGGGTCTGTTTCCTGTTGTCACCTCAGCCTTGTTGACATTGTCTCTTGTCCCCAGAGGAGTGCTAGGTTGTACAGTAGTGCTAGGCGTGGTGGGAGACACTCCTGGGAGAAAGTGCTTGGTGAAGGGGAATTTGTTTGGCCTTAACTGGTCACTGCTGGCTTCTCCCTCAGACCTGCAGATGGTGAACATTTCCCTGCGGGTACTGTCTCGACCCAATGCCCAGGAGCTCCCCAGCATGTACCAGCGCTTAGGGCTAGACTATGAGGAGCGAGTACTGCCGTCCATTGTCAACGAGGTGCTCAAGAGCGTGGTGGCCAAGTTCAACGCCTCGCAGCTGATCACCCAGCGGGCTCAGGTCTGATTCCTATCACTGTCTGCATCACAGCGTGTCTCCCCTTGGTCCAGGGTCCTGGGTCCTAAAAAAGGGCATTTTGTAGAAAGAGAAGGATATGAGGGGCGAGTGGAGCTGTAGTTCAGTTGGTGAGTGCTTGCCTACCACGCACAAGCCCTGGGTTTAATCCTAAGCATTATTTAAACCGGGTGTGGCACGTGCTTGTGATCCCAGCACTCCAGAGGTAGCGGCAAGGGGATCAGACATTTAGGGTTATCCCTGGCTGCATAGCCGGTTTGAGGTGGGACAGCTGCACTGATTGTCGCTCTGGGAAATAAGGAGAAACAACTGCAGAACCTGATACCAGTCAGTGTTAAGAAGGAAGCGTAGAAAACAATGCGATACGGTCTTACCCACATCTCTAAAGCAGTTCTTTCCTGGCTTGGCAGGAAGCTAAGCAGATATATGTTGCATGGGAAAACGGGAAGATTAGGGGTCAGTGTGACTTGGGGTGGTGATGCCACCTTTCTGGTGCTACTTCATCTGTCACATGAAGACACTGAGCCAGGTTTTTTCTAGCGAATGTTTGAGGACTTAAGTGGTGGGTTTGCTGCCCATACTCAGGAGCTCTGGTGTTCAGATGGTCACAGCAATACTGCCTTCCCTCCAGTTCTCTGACCCCTTCAAGCCACCCCTCCCCTCCCCTCTCCACCCTGGCCCGCAGGTGTCCCTGTTGATCCGGAGAGAGCTGACGGAGCGTGCCAAGGACTTCAGCCTCATTCTGGACGATGTGGCTATCACCGAACTGAGCTTTAGCCGAGAGTACACAGCAGCTGTAGAAGCCAAACAAGTGGGTGAGTTCCCGGGGAGTAATCAGTGGGCTTCTGGTCTGGGGGGGGGGGGGGGCTGCACGTGCTTGAATTCTTACCGACCCACAGCCCAGCAAGAAGCCCAGCGGGCCCAGTTTTTGGTGGAAAAAGCCAAGCAGGAGCAACGGCAGAAGATCGTGCAGGCCGAGGGGGAGGCCGAGGCTGCCAAGATGATATCCTTCTGTTGCAGAGCTTGACCGGCCCCTGGGACGCCCTGTTTCCACCCTCCCTCATGGGCCGACTGATGAGACTAAGGCGAATGTGACTCTGCCTACTGACCCTTGGCTTCTAGGGGTGGGAGGGGTGACTGTGGTGAGATCTGAAATCTTGGTGGGGGGACCTGAGGCCTGACTCCCCACTGTAAGGCCGGATCAAGAGCACCACTGGCCTCGCCTTCACATCTGCTGCCACCACAGTTCTTGGCAGCATCCTGCAGGGAGGCCCACAGGGGGTAGCCAAGTGTGAGTAGCCATGTGAGCGCAACCTTGAATCTGACAGCCCAGAGGACCCTGAGGAGGCGGGGGAGGTGGTTGTTGCGGCAGACATCATAGCCTGGCCTAGATGAACCTTAACCCTGTCTGCTTACCTTGGAGAAGCACTGAGCAAAAATCCCGGCTATATCAAGCTCCGAAAGATCCGGGCCGCCCAGAACATCTCTAAGACGGTGAGAGGAAGGAAGGCCTCACTCTCCCAGGGCTACCCATTGAGATGGAAAGTATTCAGTTGCACACACACACAATAGGATTCCAACCTGACCTGAGTCTCTACTTGAACAACTTCCTTGGGCACCCTTCCTCCCCCAGAGTGACTCCCCCGGCTTTGTGTTTGTGGCTGTTACAGAAGTATAACACCAAGGCTTCTCACTGCTTGGATCTTTGTACTAGAGCAGGGGCCCCTTGTTCATTACAGTGTCTTCCACTGGGTGGGCCACTGAGTCACAGGGGTGAGACTTGAGGCCGCCCTCTGCTAACCCAGACATCCATTCCCTGTCCGGTAGATCGCCACCTCACAGAACCGCATCTATCTGACAGCCGACAACCTCGTGCTCAATCTCCAGGATGAAAGCTTTACTCGGTAAGAGATGCCACTGTGCAGAGAACAGAGCATCTACACTTGGTACTCGGGCTCTGGAATCCACTGCAATAGTCATGGGGCCCTTGACAGTTTCTCTGAGAACACCAGAGTCAGAGAAGTAGGTGTGTCTGTCTGGTTGGCAGTTCCTATGTTAGATCCTCTAGGACTGACTTTATGAAACAAAATAGGATTTCTTGTGTAAAAGGCACTTTATTTATAAATATTTTAAGTGAAAAGTGATAAGCGATGGCGTTCCATGTTCTTGCTTGAGAACCTGGATGCTGCTTCCCTGGTAATGTGTCAGCACCACAGAAATGGGGACCAAAAGAGCAGTCGTCATGGGGGCTGGGGGATAGAAGGGTCTACAGCAGCTGGGGCCTGAAGCTGACTAATCATATTTATCTCTTCTTTCTGTTTTCTGTTGACTCCATGCCGTGCTGGCTGCAGGGGAAGGTAAGTGATTGCATCCTTGCTGCGGGGTACTGGGGGGCCACCTCTTCCCTGGACCTGTCTCTATACCTCACCTCCCCACAGTCAGACCTTCATTTGGGAAGAGGAGATAGCTTGCACATTTATGTCCCCCATAATATGAAAGTTTCCCCTTTGTTCTATAGTGACAGCCTCATTAAGGCTAAGAAGTGAGTTGTGGACATCAAGAACTCTGCCAGCAGAGGAATGGATGCATTTCTCATCCAGTTTTGAGGAGCCGGCTAGGGAGGTCAAGCACAGCCCACCCTGACCCAAGTATCATGTGATGGATTCCTCTGTACTCGTCCTCTTGGATTAAGGAAGACTGAAGACCAACCCTTTCAGAGGACTTTCTTCCTCCTTGTATTGGCCTGAGGGAGGGGGGGAGACAGTGTGATTTCTCAGTGACTTCCTACAGTGTTGTCCTTCCCCAGAGTGGGGGGAGATAACCACCATCCCAGAAGTTCTCAATAAAATTTTTATTAAACTGAAGCCAGCCAAGGTTCTGCATCTGAGTGGGTTAGACAGGCTGCACTCTGGGTCTCTGCCAGCAGATGGCACACGCAGTCTGGCCTGTAGAGTTCCGGCTCCGCTCTGCTAGGTCCTCAGAGCCTACTGGCTCCAAAACAGACCATCAACGGGGAGCAGGAGACCTCAGCCAAAGGCCCAGCTACACCCTTCACCGCACCCTTCGTGTCTGTCAAACGAACCAGCTGGTTTAATAACCTCTTTTAAAGCTGGAGCAGCTGTGGCTTTGCTGAGCCAAACTAAAAATTTGATGACCCCAACGGGAGCTGCTTCCTTGGTTACCAGCTTCTGCGTAGCTATGGGGAGATCATGTGTTCCTCCTGAGGGCCTCAGTGTCCCAAAGCCCAGTGGACTAGTGCACTGTTCCTCAGTTACCAGGTACCATGAGCTATTTGCATGTAGGGTTATCCCCACGGAGGTGGATTTCCCACCCCCACAGCCCTGGAGCCCAACTGAACAAGGACCTAGTTTTCCACATACTACCTCATTCTGAAGAAGTATATCTCGAGTACTGGAAAGTTAAGCCATTGCTCATACGTGTAGCTCACCTTTGCTATCTTTTTTCCTTCCGGGTAGATAAATATGTGAAACCATAAAACAATCCAATGGGAGAAGGGGTGAACCTCAAGTGGACTAGAGGGTGCTGTAAAGCTTCGGCTCCCTGGGTTCTCAAAGGAAGCGGATGGATCTCTCCTGAGGTCTAGGAAGAGAGACAGGCCAATGGGCCTGAATCAGTATCCCTGGTTTCCCACTGACACTCATGTTCCCAGGGTGGAAGGACAATGGAAGTGACTACGGACCGAGTGTATTTCCAAATCTTGCTGCTGCTCTGGAGGCAGCCATTTTGTCTCTTTCCCATTGTTCTCCTTTGCCAAGTGACTCACACATCCACACCCCACCCGGAAGGTTAAAGGTCAGGTTGTTGGTCTGGTGGCCTCCATGGTCTTCAAGGCTCCAAGAAGGTCACTGCTGAGGGAACCGACCCGGGGGCCATCTTTACCAGACAGTGTTAGGAGCTTCATACTTCAATCACCCAACACTGCGCTGGAAGATGGACCCAGAGCCGGCCTACAGAAAAGCAGACCACAGCTGATCGACTGCTAGAGCGAAGCCGCTGCTGGCTGGCTGGCTTGGGACCTCTTGAGTGCGTAGACAATCCCAAGGCCAAAGTGGCTTCGGGTAGGTTCTGGATCTACCAGATGACAAATCACACTGGGTTGGAGGAGGGGCTGGGGCCATTGTGTTCCTCCAGTGGGCGAACGGCCAACGGAGAACCGTTTCTGCAGCACCCTTAACTCAGGAGAGGGGGCTTTCAGGGTACGTGAGGGAGCAAGGACTTTGCTACCGGATAGGGGCCGGGAGCCTGGAGCAATGGACGCCGCTGACACGGGACAGGGGCCTCCATCATTACCCGGCAGTATTAGAGACTCCTAACCAGCACCCAAACACTGCTGGGTAAGACGAGGGCCCCTACCCAACCAGTCCATCGCCAAGATCAGTCCTGGCTATGCCCAAGCACCCTGTGGAGGAGCCACAGAGCTCTGGCTCCCATCCCCCACCTCCGCGTCATTTGGGACACTTCCGGGTGAGCCTTGCTGCTCAAGCCAGGCGTACCCTGAGTTGCCCATCACTGAAGCCAAAACCAGCTCCAGCAGCCCCCCCCTTAGCCCTCCGCTGTCCGCCTGAGAGCCAGTCCCCTACCACTCCACCGCCCGTCCCTGCCCCCAACACACACCAATTCCCTGCGCTCTACAGTTGCTAGCGCGGCCCCAGGACCCCGTGATCGGTGGCCTTTACCTGGCGCCAGACCCGCCTGATCCCCAGAGTGGTGCAGAAGAAAGGAAGGGGTACCAAGGCCCCGGATTCAACCGCCTGGAGCCCGCCTGGCCTCCACTCTTCCTCTTCCTTCTTCACCTGCCTGGCAGCACTGGCGCCTCACCTGGGCCCCGCCCGCCTGCTGCCCTGCGCACAGGTGTGTCCTCCTGCCATAGGCTGCCCCCCTTCCGCCTTAACTCCTTCCCTCCCAGCACCAGCCCTGGGCACCTCCTCTTGAGGCCTGGCCACCCTGCCAGGCCTCCCGCCCTTTCTGGCGGCCTTTCTTCTCCTGCCTAGTCTTTCCCTGATTCTAAAGGAGTCAAGGGAGAGGCCATCTTTGGATCCCCTTCCAGCGGCTCCTTCCCCAGGCTAAAAGCCCTCTCCTCCCAGGCCGCCAACCCTGCCCTCGGGCCGAGTCAGAAGATCCTCCCTGAGGTCAGTGTGGGGTCAGCCCGGCAGGCATTGGTCTGTGTCCCTGTCCAGTGCTAAGCCGGAGTTGGACGACCCCTTGAGAGCTGGGAAGGACGGAAGCCCCACCGTACCTGTGGATCCCCCTAGCCTCTGCAGCGCGCCTCCGGATCTTTGGTTTTACCCTGATGTTGGAGTGTCTGTCCCGGCCAAAAGGCCCAGCCCCCACCTAGTGAGGAAAGCTGGGACCTGCTCTAGCCCTACATTTGCTACACTCTTGAGGGATGATGCCTGCAACCTACCCTTCAGCAGAGCCCTCTTCTCAGTTGGCCCTCGAAGAGTTAGTCCAGCGCAGTGAGAAGAATAGGACCTACCTTTCTTCTGTGTGGTTCTGTTGCTGGGAGAGGGGCCCTGCGGCTCACAGGTGATGGCCCCACCCATGCACCCCCTGGAGGGCCATGGCTCCAGGGAGCTATCATGTTGCTCAATCCCTCCTCTTTGTTCTCCATACTTTTCCGTTGTAATTATTTGTGTGGACTAATTCTGCCTTGGTCTCCCAGACATCTCCTAAGTCTCAGTAAGATAAGCTAACTTGTCACCCTCAGTTGCTCCCAGCACTACCCTAGGGCCCTTGACACAGTGGGACGGTCAGGTCGAAGAGCTATCCTTGGTGGGAGCCAGCACTTCCCAAGATATGGCTGGCACACTCAACTGACCAGGAGATTCAAGTTATATATAAAGATCCCAACTCCAAACAAAAGGAAAGGAAGGGGACAAAATAATCAAATGATCTCCAGTGTCCGGGAGGGTGAGGGCCTCAGCTGTGGGATACCCCTATGTGCTTTGGGAACTGCAGATCAGGGGCGGCTAGGCTAGCTCAGTCCCTCCTAAAAATCTTCCTAGTTGTTGGAGCTAGCAATCAACAGCTGGTTGTGTGGCGAATCTTTCTAGGGTGGAGCCTGCTGAGTCTGCAGGTAATAAGGACATGGACTCCCAAGGCCAGTAGTCCTGTAGCCTTGAGCAAGTTAAGTTGATCTCCCTGTGCCTCAGTTTTCCCCACTGTAAAATAAGGATAATAAAGGTACCCAGACTGAGATCTAGTGAGAGGAGGCTCTGAGCTTTATCCCCAGTACCAATCAATCAATCAATAAATAAATAAAAACAAAAACTAAAGTACCTAAAATTAATGAGTCCTATAGTCTCTTAACCAGTGCCTGGGCCTGTTGCCAGTGTGCAATGTAGTAGTAGCCATTGTTATTGGCACTCACTACCCCAATGTCTTCACTAGGAAGCCAAGGAGGGCAGACGAGTCCGGATCGCCCTCTGCTGTAAGAAGGCCCGAGCTCTTGCCAAGCACATAGGAGACTTGGTTCCATCCCCAGCAAGAATGAGAGAGGGAAAACACAGAGCAATCTAAGCCCTAGAAATGCCACAGGCATCTAGCTGTGTGAAGCAGCATCCAGAACTGGGTCAGATGAAGCAGCAGAACCGGGTCTATTGGACCCAAAGGTTGAGCTTTTATGCAGTCCCACATGACATCCCAGTCCCATCCTGCCCAGAGTCCCTGGATACATGGGGCACACAGAATTGGAGGCAACACACAGTGGTCCAGGGGCTTTATTTACAAGAATAGAAGTCTGGCTTTGCCTGGGGGCTTGCTGGGCTATGTACAGGTTCAGAGGACCACAGCCACTTAAATTACAAGAGGATGGCGGTGGTCCTAGGGTCTGGTGTGAGCCAGCGGTCTTGATCTGTCCAGTGGAGGCCTCTGCAGGGATTGAGGCTGATACTGCAAATTAAAAAGAGGAAGTGGGTGAGAGGGTATCTGGGGCCCGGGGAGGGGACACAAGAAGATCTAGGGACACCCTGGCAGGGTAGAGTGAGACTGTGACCATCCCATGCATGTCAGAACTGGAGTAGAGGAAACTGGGCCAGGGAGAGAAGAGACCATGCCGAAGGGGCCTCACCATGGCCGCCTGCAGATGAAAGCCCAGCTCACTTCCTCTTAACGGAACCTTTGCTCTTCTCCTTGTCTGCTGACCGCTGCTTCTTCACTTTCTCTTCCTTCTTGTTCTTGCTGTGCACGTTTTCATACACCTCCTCCTTGTGTCTGGGCATGGGGTGGCGAGAGGACATCTGGAGACTGCAGACCCATTTCTAGCAGCAGCCTCTCCAGACTCACTCTCACTAAGTGAATCCAGGAAGCACGATAACAACCTGCTCACTGTCCATTCACTAGACCCGAAGCTCCCGGGGACAGAGACCACTCACACATGAGTCCACAGCTGGTCCATGGCCCAGGCCCACACACAGTCCCAGTGGGCACTTCAGAAAAAACTTAGGGACAGAGGTTAAGAAGGTTGACCTTGAACCAGGGCCTCTTCAACCTCCACACTAGTCCACTCCAGAAAGGGCAGTTGGGGCTGGGCAGGAGAGGGCAAGCAGGACCACTCACTTGGAGGAGGTACGGGAGGCCTTGGCGTGGGCACTCCTCATAGCAGGAGGGTAGGTGATATTCCCATACTCCGACTCCTGGCCTTTCCGGGACTGTGGGCAAAGGCGTGGTGGGAGGATGGTGGTACCAGCAGGACTGGGTGATGCCCGCTCTCCCCACCCCGTCAGCCCCACTCCGGACACACTTGTATGATCTCCAGTTTCTTCTTGGTTGTCTCAATGAACTGGGCAATGGCCACGTAAATGAACTTGTACTGTGCCTCCGTCTGCACCATGCCAGAGCGCTG